TCGTTACCCACACTTGTCTCCACGTCGCGAAGAATAAGAACAAATATTTGAATTTTTGATCATCAGACCTAACCAAGTGTATTGCAGAACCTGGATTTTTCTGTTCCAACATATAGCACATTGATGGCAATAATTGGCAGGAGTCTTCATCTGAGCCATACAACTTGTTCAATGCCTTCTCTTTCACTAGTAAAGCTTTCCTATATGACATTGTAATGCCATATTCCCATCTCATATCCTCACATAAGTCATTAGGAGGGTATGGTTTCTTGGTAGCGTCTACATAACGATGAAGGACTATATCAGCTACAAATGGCGACATTGCTTGTCTGTGATCGCCTTCTCGAAAATCAACAGGGAAAGTATGGATTGAGTCAAACCTATAAAACAAAAAATGAAGGCAACAGATATGAGAAAAAATGGTTAGGTGCGTCTACTTTTTTACTTTTGATATGTTATTTGTTTATAGCGCTGCAATTGTTACACTGCCACTGCATGTATATGCAAATACACTGCCAAATGAATCCTAAATTTTTTGATACACTGCCACTGCATGTGTGTGCAAATACACTGCCAAAATTGGGCAGTGAGCTCAGCACATACATTTAGTGTGCATCAAAAAATTTTATTTTGAAAAAAGATATAATGTAACAAACTTTTTAAAGAGTTGAAAGTTTTTTAATCAAATTCAAATGTCGTGAATGCACACTTATGATTTCATGCAGTCTGTGGTTATGATTAACTGTGGGCATGCGGTGTTTTTAATAATATAAAAGCGTACTTGCGTATCTGAAAAAGGGTGAATTATCTACTCGAACAGCACGAAGGGTCCACGAGCAACGATCATCAAAACAAACAACGTGCAAACATGACTTGTTTGACCTCTTTGTCCTATATTGAAAGCTATTAAACACGACATACATTTGTAGATGTTTGCATAAATCATCCTTTGACTTATAGATATTGTCAACCTTAATGGTGGTAGGATGATAATATGAAATGACATCCATAGAAGATGATGAGCCACCAGGAGCTATAGGGTCTGTTGTATTTTGATTGTCATCATGACTTCGTTGAGTGCATGAACTCCCATCACCTAGTATTCCACTGCCACTCCTCTGAGGTGTAGAGTAAGTATTGCTTTGCAGATTAGCATTGCAAACAGAGTTAACATATGCCTCATTGAGAAAGTTTTATGATCATTATGGGTAGTGGCGTCATTACTTTGTGGGTGGAATGTGGAATCCAAAATACGCTCAACGCAAAGTGGCAGGTGTGAGGTGTAGGGGTGGACACGGTACCGGTACAGTACCAGTACCGGAAACGGTACCGCCGGTTCCGGTACCGTTACCGTCGGCCGGTACGGTCCACCGGTTCCGGGAACCGGTACCGGTACCGGTTCCGGTGCCCATTTTTCGGTACCGGCACCGGCGGTTCCGGTTCCGGTAACGTTATTTTTTATTTTTTTTTAATTTCATTCTTTCCTTTATCAATTTCATTTTTAGATTTTTTTATTTCATCATTTCCTTTAACAATTACACATTTACAATTTTACATTTTAAAAATATAATAAAAAAGCAAAAAAAAACAAAATTAGGGGTGGCCGAAACGGTACCGGAACCGGTACCGGCCGGTCCGGTACCGGCCGGTCCGGTACCGGTACCGGTACCAAGGGGTGGCAGTACCGGAACCGGCAGTTCCGGAACCGGAACCGTACCGTGTCCACCCCTAGTGAGGTGTCATTTTAGAACGACTTCAACTTCAGATAAAATAGTAATTCGAAATCATCGGAAACAACAATAGGTGGGGGGAGGACGCAACAATATAAGAAAGACGAACAGTATTCTGGGACCAATCAATAAGTATGGAAGATTTGAGTAAATCTAATAAAAAATGGAATGAAGTTTCAAATGGGACCTCAATCATTGTGTTATACTTTGAAGTAAAGCTTCCATGAGTATCCCATGTCCCATCAACACGTAGCAATATCATCAAATTTGGACCCATCTGTGATGCACCTTTTAAATAATAAAAGAGAAAACATTCAATTAAATTAAGTAAAGGAATGAACTCAAACAATAGACGTATAACCTAATATGCGACGAAAAATGCTCAATTAAATGGAGGTGGTGAATAAAAACCCACCTCGTATATATATACATGCTAGGCATTCAGTCAAACACGTGAAGAAGTTGATATCTTGGCTCCTAACAAGGATACTTTGCACTAACATACTAACTATTTAAAAGCGGCAAATACTTGGTATTTCAAAAATGATTTCACTACACCTATACTTCAAACTGCGAACTTCAGTTTATTAAACATATACATCGCACATCATACTTCCAACTTCACTTCATTAATCTTCAATGGAACAGCTTTGTTTTTAATAAAATTATGCTAACTACTTAGACATAATTAAGAGATTTAACACAAAGAAAATAGGAAATAATTAAAACTAAAAATACATGAAAAAATTTAAACATTGAATCTTCACACTGCTAAATCCATAACACCTAATCTTCACACTGCCAATTTCGCAATGCCTTTCAAAACACCTAATTTTTTAAAAAAAGGACAAATACTTGGTATTTCAAAAATGATTTCAGAACACCTAATCTTCACACTGCCAACTACAATTCATTAAACATATAAATTGCACATCACACTTCTAACCTCAGTTCTTTAATCTTCAATGGAGCAGATTTGTTTTAATCGAAATATGCTAAACACTTAGACCTAATTAAAAGGAGATTCAATACGAAGAAAACACAATAATTAAAACTAAATATACAGGGAAATCTGAATAAAAGGATGAAGGAATGAAAATTAAAAATTGAAGGAGAAGAGA